TTTCCCATTGTTATTTCTGCCTATCTGTCTTAGTGTCTTGCTTCTTCTTTGCGCTATATTATTTGACTGTTATTGAGTCGATGTGCTTCTCTATACTCAACCTCACACTCAAACTGAATAAAAAATGAAAACTTTACTCACTTTCGATTTGTTCAGAAATGTTGAAGCTCCTGTGGATTCTAAATTTACTTTGCCTTCTACTAACACACAATCTCATCAGCCATCTAGGTAGCAAAGTCTTTCACGTGGGTGGTTTGCAGGTGTTCTGGTGTGGTTTGCCTCTGCTTCTGCTTCCGCTTCTGCTTCTCTTCTTTTCTACCAAACATCTATCGTCCTGATCTCCCCTTCTTCTTTTTTATGTTTGTTACTCTCTTGTAACAGCTCTTATCTTCTGGCGCTCATATGACCTTATGCAGTTGCGAGCACCTTAAAAACTCTACTAAAACTAAAAAACTAAAAAGTCTTTCACTGTACTCATCGTCGAGACACACCGAAATATAGCAATTAAAAACATCTATCGAGAGATGTCACATCGAATCCGTCTTGATAACCACGTGTCAGACTGTCCAAAGGGGAGTGGGGTAAGGAAGTCCAATATCAACCGAGTTTTTTTTATTTCTCTTTCTCTTTTTGTGTGTTTTACGGCGCTCGCAACTGCATAAGGTCACATGAGCGCGCGGCAGCTGGTAAGAAATTTTGAATTTTGCCCGTGTGGCGGCCGAAGCCTACTCTTATCGATTTTGGACCACCAATGGATCTTTAACGTGCGCAACTTGCACACGGGACCTCCGACATTTTTCGCCCTCATCCGAGAAGGCTATAATGTGTTAGATTTTACCTACCACGAGATTGCAGGGATGTGGCTGACAGACACTAGTAAGTAAAAGGAGCCAAGGAGTAGCAGTAGAAAGACTGCAGAAAGAGTTACGAGCCTAGAGGAGGGGGCAAAAATAAGGGGGAGGGGGGGTTAGAACAGAAAATGGAGACGAAAGCAGACGACAGAACATTGTTAGTGAGCAGGAAAGGAGGTGAAAGGAGACAATTTTGGATAAGAACATTTTTCGTCACTTTCCGGATTCAAACCCGGGACTTTGATTAAGAACCTGATCTCGACCGCAACACGACCCCCCACTCCCCTCCCCAAGGTATTCACAGTACAGCAGCAATCGTAGAAATATCCGAAACAATCTGCCTCAGTAAAAGAATTTGGACAGATGGAGACCACCTGAAAGATCTGTGATTCGCCAATGATGTGACATTTTGCGCCAAAAGTGGACAACAAATAAAAATCAGCCTCAATGTCATTAATGAAGAGAGCAATAAAGTGAGCTTTAAAATCCACGAAGATGAACATTGTGCCTATTCTGACAAACTGCACTAGCAACAAAATAGTTGCTTTAGAAAACAAGAAAATTGCAAAAGTGACAGAATATAACATGAATTACTTGGGCCAAACAATAAGTATAGAGGAGAAACTCAAAACTGAGGTGAGCAGAATGCACGCGATTTGGAGTTGCTTTGAAATACAGGGAAATAAATGTCATAATATTATACAGATCAGAATCACAAAAAAGATAGGTGTCTCACCAGTGTCGTGTCTCAGTAGACTAATAAGCTGTGGGTGTGAGACCTGACTATTCACAAGAAATATCATTTTAAAAGATTAGAACAACACAGATAGCAATGGGAAAAAAATGAAGAGTACAAGAATACGAACTCAAATAAATCACCCAAAAATACGAAAGAAAGCAGGAGTGGCAGATATTCCCCAAATTTATACTGCAACAAAAATGGATAGGGGCAGGTTAATCAGTAGAATGAAAGATAACAGATGGACCAAAAGAAACATTGATGATATGAGACCAAGAACAGGAAAGCGATCGACAGGAAGACCAGGAATAAAAGATGGCAAGATATCAGAGAGCGGACGGGGACAACCCGCAATACACAGAACAGATAACACTGAATGGAGGTTATTGTTGGGGGGAGATACGTCCTGCAGTGGACGGACGATTAGGAAAGAAAGTACGCTTTGAATTGGAAAGAAGTAAATTCTATCGAAATGTAACCGAAGTACATCAACTGTTGCAGTTGAACTTAAAGATTATAGAAAGATAATTAGATTTTTTGTACACCTCTCCTGGGTACGGCAGAACTATGTAAAAGTTTTACGTTTAAATAATTCAAACTGGCGAAATAGATTTACTAATTGTGCAAATAGAATCAAATTGTTTTCCATTAAAAAGAAAATATTCAAAGTAATACGTAATAATTGGGACGCTTAGATTTAAATGCATATGATTTCTAGTTGTAAGTGTCCAATGTCAATAACGATAGTTTGGTAGATATTATTAATCTCTTTATGCCATTTAGTTTGGCAGTTAGACAAAGATCAAATAGAAATAGGCCCACCATCAAAGACGCACTGTAGCAGATAATGGATGCGCACACAAAGACAAGAAAGGGAGAGGTTGGTGGCAGCGATCCATGAAAGTGGGGCGGTAGAACGTGTACAGGAAAGGGATAGTCCCTCCCCTGATCCTGTCTATAAAACATTGTCTAAGACAGGGAATAGAGTTTTCCTTTGGGTTTTCACCTCATTGTAATATCATTATTTCCTTGCAAGTTTCCTTCTAATGTGTTGGCCCCCAATAATTTATATACACTCTATGTTTTCTTTTAATTTAGTGAACACCTGATTTCTGCAGCAAGTGTGGCCCAAAACCAAGGAGGTGAGATGGTAAAACTTGATCTACAGTATCTTTACAAATAATAGTGGTGATAGTTTAGCGCCTCGCCCAAACAAAACCCATGGACTAAAAGCATAGTGGGGACTTTGTCGCCGAGACCATGTTCTTCTTCACAAAAAGAGCGAATCGACCTCTCACTTTTCAAAATTAAATGGAGCGTGACGAAGTCTTACACTTAGCGGTCAAAATGAATTTACCTGTGAAAAAAAAACGAACATAAATTAAGACTCCGCTGGTGATAGTAGTTGCGCTTGCTGTAGCTCCTGTTTCTGAATAAGCAGTTCTTTAATATTATTTTATTTGCCCAATGCCCTGAGAATTTTACTTCTTTGATTGGGTTATTTTTAACTGTCTGGTTCAGGACCATACTCAATTCGCCGAAAGACTCAATTATTGAAAGGTTGGTTATAATCATGAGCTTTATTTATTAACTGATTTAAACCTTTTTGTCAACATTCATCTAAAGTAATTTGGATTTTTTTAAAAGCTCTAGAGAGAGAACGAGATGCGAGTTTGAGCTTTTGAAGTGTAGGCCCTATAGCGGACAGAGACAGGGGGGGAGGGATGGAGGGAGGGATAGAGAGTGAGAGATAGATAGATAGATAGATAGATAGATAGATAGATAGATAGATAGATAGATAGATAGATAGATAGATAGATAGATCGATAGATAGATAGACAGAGAGAGAAAGAGAGAGAGAGAGAGAGAATGAGAGAGGGGGGGGGGAGAGTATTTATTATAGTCTTGAGTTTGAGATACAGGGTGATCCCAAAAAAAACTTTACATCTTTTTTTTCTGAATATCTCGCGCAAAAATTGTTCTAGAATGCTGTACTTTGGAATAGACAAAATTCATTCAAAAGGAATTTGTTTGATATAACATTCACGAAGAAGAAACATGTTTTGAAAACGGAAACGGCTAAAGACTAAAAGAAAAAAAGCACCCCAAAAACGCAAAGCTCACCAATGTTTAAAAATCTTGTAAAGGAAGTCGTGAAACGATTAGCGGACCTTTTACTTTATTTTCTCTTTGACATTGATTTTCCATCCCTGTGACATTTAAACAATATTTAATTTCTTTTACAGAGTTTTAGAAACATAATGATTTCATTCTGAAATTCCAAGAAGCAGTGCTCCACATTCCCTCCTTTGGACTCGACACATTTTTAACGCGTCGTTCGAAATGTTCAGTTGCGCCCTAACACAAGGACCTGCTAAACCGTGAGTCTTTAAAGCCACAAACACTGTACATGTTCTCTAAGAAGTGGCTTCTAGAGACAATAGAGTGGGGTGCCCAGTAGACAGCATTTCTGGAGTTAACATATCCCGCAGGGTGAAAATGGGCTTTGCACTAAACTAAATGTCATCGAGGAAATAATCCCTCTTTACAAGACAATCGAGGAATCATGAACACATTGCCATGCTGTGATCCATGTCATCCTGGCCTAGCGAAGATGAACATGGTATAGTCGTAGGTTAAGATCTGCCATGAGAATGTAGACTGTAGATGTGTAGGAAAGTCCTAGCTGCAGATCGTCTACGGACAGACGTCTCATGGGACTCGGCTACTGAAATCTGCACTCTGGTGTACACTCTGGCTGTACATGGTGCGTATTCGACCTGAAGTGGTCATTTTTTAAAGAACTTTTTAGTTCTGATTCGCTATAAATCCAAACGGACGGAACTTCTCTACTCATGACGCCAAAGGTTTTGAGGGCACCTGAGCATTCTCTCCATGCCGTGCGCAGAACGAAATGTCAGAGATGGTGAGTTTGTGGACAGGTAATGTTCAATACAAAAACTCTCTTTACTAAACGTAGCCATGATCTCAGCAGGCAAACAAAATTTGGGAAGAATAATATCTGCAGACTTCTGTAAACTTGTTAGACTGCTGTAGCTTGCAATATGGCGCGATTTTTGCAACTTTTAGTGGTAGGCCTAATGCGAACTGGTGCGTCATGCTATGGAATTTAATGGCGACAAGGTTGAAAATGGGTTGTTTTTTAACGCACTATATAGAGCAAAACCATTCAATGGACTTATCTAAAATACATATCAGAAAAATTCCCTTTGGCTTCCAAACGTTATGTTCAAATCTGAAACGCAAGACTTCAGTATGGGGGAAGATATTTACAAAACAAGTTGTATAGGTTTTTTTGGGATCACCCTGTAATTTGGTTTATATTTGGGGTTTTGGGGTTTTGGGGTTGGGTTTTTAAAGATTATTTTGCGGTGTATTTTTCATTATGTGATAAGCTGGTATCGATTATTCTGATCTAATGTATATCTCGAACAGTACAACCTTCGAACAGAAACATAATGACGGTATCGAACGCAACCGCTTCCTCTGTCCAGCTCACGACTGCAGCGTCATTCTCCTTAGAAAGAGAGCTGACCGGAATCGTCGGCCATGAGGCCCGGGAGTGGTTCAAGACCATTGTAGAGGTTTGGATCTGCTCCATCCTCTCGGCGCTAGGTGTGGCCACGAATGTATTGGTCATCGCCGTGTTCACCAGACAGCGCTTCAGAGACAACATCTCCATCTCGATGACGACAATAGCTGTTTGGGATTTCCTCAAATGCGTCAGCGGCGTACTATGTCGGCTGTACTGGGCTATGGGCTTGGAGGACCCCGTGTTAGGAGAGATGTGGCTGGAGGTCTCGGCCATCTTACTGAGCTACTTACATAGCTTCATGGGGTTCGTATCATGCGCTCTAGCGGCCTACGTGTCCATGGAGCGCTGCTTGTGTGTAAGCATGCCCTTTAAGGTCAAGGACATATTCACACGACGGTTGACTTTGATCATGATGATCACCATTTCTATACTGGTCATGAGTTCATTTATGGTTATATTTCCTTTATGGGAAATCAAACAGGTCTTTGACCTCGATCGTAATGCAAGCACGACCATTTTGGCATTTAGCGATTTCCATAGTGATTTTGGCGTGCCCGTACTGCGGTACTACAACATTATCAGCGTATTGTGGCCGTTGCTAAGCTTTATCGTTATCGTTGTCAGCGCTGGAGTCATTTTATACAACTTGCAGAAATCATCAAAGTTCCGAGGCAAAAACGAAAACATGCAGAAAGATGGAATGTCCAAGAGGGATTTACAGGTCGTCAAAATGCTCATTGTCATCATCGCTGTCTATATCGTGAATTTGTTCCCACGAATTGCGCAGTATTTCGCCAGATTCTTCGAACCCCAATTTTATCTCCGCATGCGATATCATAACCTTTTCATTGTGGTTATTACTATAGTTTTCATTTTTGACTTTGTCAACGCGTCTACCAATCTCTTTATCTTCATCTCCATGAGTACAAACTTCAGAAACACTTTCGTAGAAATGTTTGGTGGCTGGTGGATTGTAATAGACATGAAAGCTTCTCTTCCAAATTAAACATTTAACTCTTTGAAGACGCGTATTCTAGTCTTTCAACAACTCACGAAGATGCACTGCTTAGGGCACTTAAAAAAGAAACCTAACTTCATTATATTCATACGGAATTTTTTATGAATTCGATTTTCTTTATCTGAAACTTAGTAAGGCAGGCAATATGCATACAACGTACTATGAAATGTACAATTCCTGTTTCTGATTTGAGTACGTAGCATTTGATCGGCTGTCAGTTGTGTACGCTATGTCTTTAAAAGAGTACAGTCGCGTGCATTTGTTCCGCGCAACTTACATATCGGCGCAACTGCGCGTGTAAGCCTACGCGTCCACCAAAATAAGATCACCTCCAGGTCAAGCTAATGTACGACGTTTTTGCAGGGTGTAGAAGCGACTCAAAAAGATCCGTGTCCACCGACGTCAGACCTAAACCTATTTTTAGCCCAGTGTCTTATTCCGTCTTGGTTATGATTACGAGAACAACAGACAGCACAGGCGATTTATTTATTTATTTACCACTTTAAAAAACTAAAAAACAACAAATTATAATTATGGGAAAAAGTGTTGGTAAGTTGGGACGATTAGAAGAAGAAAAAAAAACTGGGACTGGGATTCGAACCCATACTCCCAAAATAACGTTTGTCCTCAAACGCAGACACACTGTCACTCGGCCATCAGAACTTTCTTTAGCATGGGTAAACTAAGCTTCATATTTATAGCACTGTTTCAGGAAAGGCAAAGCGACATAATATTATATCTAGATGTAGATCTAGAATCTAGATTTAGGCTTAGATCTAGTGGACCGGCAGATAAGGTCTGGAGAAAACTAAAAATTGGCGGAAAATTGGAAGCACTAAACATTAGAGAACATAGACCTAGATCTACATCTAGACTTTCTAGATCTAGATCTAGATATCTAGATCTAGATATCTAGATCTAGACCTAGACACGTCACAAGCTAGGACTAACCTGGCCTATTTTTAGCTCTCCTGAGAACGAAATAATCTAGATCTAAATCTAGACCTAGAATCTAGGTCAAGTGCTTTAAATTCCTTCTTTTTTTTTTTGGTGCTGTTTTTCCAGCTCAAATTCACTATTGTACAACATATTATAATGAGATACAACTTTATTGATCATGTAAAGTGCAACGAAGAAGCAAAAATGTACTGAAAGAGGCAAATTTCCTTCCGAAATGAGTCGAATCGAGGCTTCATTAGTCACCTGAACGACTGACGAAAAAGCGTGCATGCAGGAAAATCGCGTAGTCAGTAGTCAGGCAAAGGCAGTCAGTGACTGACGAAAACAAGCTCATTTGCATGTGAGCTTGGCCTGCAAGTGATGAAAAAGCGCAGTGGACGCGGGGCCAGCAATCTTAAGATTAGTATAATTATATCATTCTTGTGAGCTCTTCAGTTTCATATCTTAACTTTCAATTTTAATTTTAATTTTAATTTTCATATTTTTACACTTTTGAAAATATATTATTATGTGAATGTTCCTTGATGTGAGTAAAAGAAAAAAGATGGAAGTGAATTTTTTTTTTTTATATCTAAAAGATATATAATAAATCAAATGTACTTTGTGAACTTTGAGTTTGATACCTGACATTGTATCATTCTTGTGAGCTTTTCCTTTTCATACGTTAATTTTAATTTTCTTATTTTTACACTTTTGAAAATAATATATGTGAATGCCTCTTGGTGTGAATAAAATAATAAAGATAGAAGCGCATTTACAAAATATTAAAAAATATTAAATGAATTAAATGTACTTTGTGAACTTTGAGTTTGATTCCTGGCATTGTATCATTCTTGTGGGTGCTTCAATTTCATACGTTAATTTTAAATCTAATTTTTATATTTTTGCACTTTTGAAAATATATGTGAATGTTCCACGATGCGAGTAAAAGAATAAAGATGGAAGTGAATTTTCATTTTTTTAAATTTTTTAATGAGTTCAAAATATAAAATATTAACGCTTCATCAGATTGTCGCGCAATTATACGATGGTTAAAACGCGCAGCGCAAAAAAAGATTGCGCCGATCGGTAAATTGCGAGGAGCACATTCATTGTCCACATAACGTTTTGATTTTTCTTGTGTGTGTGTGTGTGTGTGTGTGTGTGTGTGTGTGTGTGTGTGTGTGTGTGTGTGTGTGTGTGTGTGTGTGTGTGTGTGTGTGTGTGCGTATGTGTGTGTATGTGTGTATGGGAGAGAGTGAGAGAGAGAGAAAGAGAGAGAGAGAGAGAGAGAGAGAGAGAGAGAGAGAGAGAGAGAGAGAGAGAGAGAACTATAGCACAAGTACATCTACATTATTAGAACTACGTGTGTCTGTAATATACAGGATTACCCCCCCCCCCCCCCCACATACACACACACACCCACACACCCACACAAATACTTTCTCAACTGTTTTGTAAATATTTTACTCCACACTGAAGCTTTGCGTTTCAAATAATATGAACAGAATATGTAGAAACCAAATGAAAGATCCCACCCTAAACACAACAGACGTGACCCCTACTACATGCTAAATAGAGCAGACCAGGTCACAATCTTTCGACTCCGTTGTGGCGACAACAGACTCAAACAGCGTATGCACACTAAATTAAAAGTGGGAGAGTCCGAGATCTGTGAAAGTGGACACGACCAAGAGGATGCCAACCATCCTTCAGCACTGCCCGCGCTACGCCACCCTTCGTACACAGACGTGGCAGAATGTGACTCCCCTTTAGAGAAAGCTCTTTCTGTCCCCGTGGTTTTATGCACCCCGCATAATTTAGCAAAATTTGATCATTTTTTGCATAATTTCTGATTATTTCCCTTTATCATTCTTTGTTAATATTAACAGAATCGTATAATTTCACATTTTTGGGCTCAGTTTGCATAATTTAAGAATGTTTCTTGCATAAGACATCGGGGACAGCTCATATAAGGCAGTATCTCAGATCTGAAGCGGACTGCACAGTTTGTGCGCGACATCGGACTGACTGTCTAGTTGCTGTCATCGAGAACGAGGAAGAAGAAGAAAAAAAAAGAAACCAAAGGGAAAATTGGCTGATATTCAGTTTAGATAATTTCACAGATTAGTTTTGCGCTATATAGCTCATAAGTAAGCAATCTTTTTTTTTGCCTTGTCGCCATCTGTGTAGCATGACGCACGAGTTCGTATAGGGTCGCACCAATTGCGCCATATTGCAAGCTACAGCAGTCTGACAAGTCCATAGAAGTTTGCAGATATTGTGTTTCCCATGTTTCCTTTGCCTGCTGAGATTATGGTTAAGTTAAGTAAAGGGCAGAGAGCTTTATGCATTGAATATTACCTCACCTCTTTCTCATCGTCCCTGACGTTTTGTAAGTTTTATACATTAAGACGGGCACCAAGAATTTTTCTTTGCTTCGGTAATGCTGTCCAGTACTCTGTATAACTGTGAAACATTTAATCCCTGAAGTCATCATTTTTATCCATAAGCATGTTTTAAAAAACATATACGTGTTGCGGAACTTGCCATTTTTGCCTACTGAGCAAGATTTACTAAAGAGCTGTAAAATATCTATGACTTGGGCGGTTCAAAAAACCGGATTTTAAGGTAAAGGAACATTTTACCTTGTTCATGAACATAATCAATGGCAATTCTAAGCAATATTTTATATTGGTATCCTAGGAATTAGGTCTGGAATTACAAATTCAAGAAATGCGACATTTTTTTGAAAATGACTCATATATATATATATATATATACATATGTATAGTATCGCATTGGTGATCCACCAATCCAGCTCCTAACCTTTGATAATAATCTTTCCCACAAAAAGATGTGTGTGTCCGTTTGTTTGAATTCCTTGAAGTGTCCCAAAAGCCCTTGACCTCTGCCCTATGGGGGTCGAGGAGGAGGGCTCTCCTTGGACGCTCCACTGAAGCAGTTATCTCACAAGTGTCTCTCTCGGAGTCTTGCCCCGACCCTACTCCTTTTTTTTCTTCTTCATAAGTCCTGTGACGTCGTACTCCGTTAGTTCTTGTTGGTCTACATGTTATAAGTGTACATTCGACTGCACCAACAGTATAGCCACAGCATGAGATCATCACATACAACGCAAACATTTTTTTGTCCCTTGCCTTCTTTTTCGGGGGCCATGCTTATGACCTTATTCGCCTCAAACAATTATGATTAACTATGAGTACGTGGTTGGCAGGTGCTCTAGTGCGGTTTACTCCTTCTTTTCTATCAAGAATCTTTTGTCTTTTCTCTCATCCTTTTTATCAATTTAAGGCTCCTCTCTTGTAACGCATTAGATCTTCGATGCTTTTCTCGTATTTTTCGGCCTATTTGTGTTGCTAGTGCCATAAAACTCAAATTAAAACGAAACTAATAGACTATGAGAGAGTGAGTAAGTAAGGGCAATGTTATTTCAAAATTGAAAGGAAACAATAAGAAGATATGAATAACAGTGATTAAAAACAAAAAGAAAATATGAATAACAATGAATAGATCTATTTGTTAATGTTTGATAATTTAACTTGCTAATTTTTTCCAGGTTGTGTCGAATATTCAAGATCTCCAGGCTACAAACACCGTGTGCCACAAAGTAAAGAGATGTAATCAGGTGCTCGTCAGTTTGTTGGCATATGGAGTTAATGGTATCATCTTAAAGCTTCTTTAAATATAATGTGTCTTGCTTTGAACTAAAATACTGCAACAGAGCATAATGTTGAAAAAAGAAATGCAATACAGCCATATCTCTCTCTCTCTCTCTCTCTCTCTCTCTCTCTCTCTCTCTCTCTCTCTCTCTCTCTCTCCCCTTTACCGCCCCCCCCCACCGCATAAATTTGTGATGCAGTATGCCCAGATCGGTCATACGGAAGTCTAGACCAGACAACGGGGGTGGTTACGTGCCATGAGATCAGGTCTGCTATCTATCGTCCCAGCAGTTATCCCTGTTGCACGTTGTTAAGATATCAGTGTTATCTCGCTCTAGGATTGTCTGTCTTCTCAAGTACCCTTCAACTAAGTTCTGCCAGGGAACGCCCATAGGTAGATAATACAACGCATAGCGAGGTCATACAAACAGACGTCACAAAGATAAAGATATCATGTTTGGATGCGTGTATGTGTCTGTCTGTGTGTGTATGTATGTGTGCGAGTGTGTCTGTGTGTGTGTATATATGTGAGTGTTTCTGTTGTTTTGTGTGTGTGTTTATTTTCGTGTATGTGTGTGAGTGAGTGAGTGAGTGAGTGTGTGCATGTGTGTGGCTGTGAGTGCGCGCGCGCGCGGTGTGTGTGTGTGTGTGTG